TTCTCCCTTATTTATCACAGGCCACAGAGCGTCTCACAAACAGCTACGGATTCTTGCCCTGAAGGCACTCGGCCCTCTGAAATTCACTGATGTACAAGAGCTTCGTTCTGCCTGGCCGGTGGGTTACCCGTGTGGGACAGGGACGGCCACACGGTGCAGGGAAGAGCTGGATCCAGGCTAGTCACATGTAGGACAGACACTAACATCTGCCTATCACCCCCCAACACAAGCAGGTAGGATGAGGACGCACCTCTTGCACTGAGCACGGTAAAACCACTCGGCTGAAAGAGGAAAAGAGCAAAATCAGTAAAATTAAACAACAATCAGGTTTCATCTGTTCTGGCATCTGGATCTATAGATACCAACTCTAATAAAGGAAACGCTAAAATCAGATAACTCAATTTTTCTTTGTATAAATACCTTACACAGTAAAGTTGCATGGATGTGAAGTAACAAACCCAAGTAAAATCCCATGCAAGATGTTTTACAAATGGGGAAAGAAAAGGGGATTAATAATGTTAGAAGCAGCAGCAGAAGAGCCATAAAACCTAGGACTTACTCCAAGTTCTGCCATAACTTTGCATTAAACCGTTTAAACTTTAAGGCCTTAGCTTTTTTCCTCTTTTCTTAGAAAGAGCCCTGTGCATACAGTTTGAAAAAGGACAAACACACAGGCCCTCGGAGCCTACAAATGAACGCTGGCAATTACTGCAGTCATCAATCACCCAGCAGAACAACCAGAGCTCAATCCACATTGAGGCGGCAGAAGCAGGTGCATTTAGGCACAATGCAACAACCTGCACAGCTACCAACAGTGTCAGCAGATGCAAACGTTAATGTTCCACAGTAAAAGTGTACTTAGACACGTAAGTTTAGCTTCAACTTGCATAATAGAATAGACAAAGACAATGCACACAAATTATTATTGTTGCAAAACACCTTTAAAAAAATTACAGTTAACACCCAACTGTGAACAGATTCCATTAAAATAATATTAAGCCTTCTGAATTCATTTTTCTTTTCAATACGAGAATCACTTAGTTTTATGAGGAACAAACTGCTGCTTTTAGTTGATGTTTAACTCCTCTACTGAAGAAAGTGACCATTAAGATTCAATGTTTCTACATATCACTGAAATATCTACATATTTCTATATACATAGATAAGCTAAACTTATATAGAAGCTTAGCTTGTCCACTGACTTAGAGAGGAGAAACGCTATAGTCCGTTTTCAGCTCATTCAGATGTTGCTGCTCTCAGCAGTTTGGGGATGGCAGGTTTAAATAAAGGGTTTTTATTTCAGTCCCCCCGGAAAGGTTCTGCACACCCTGGCAGCCCCACAGCAGAACGGGCCGCCCGCTCCACGTCACCCAGCGTGTCCCGGTGGCTCCGAAATCCACAGCCCAGAGTTCCCATCTCTCACCGGGTAAAAGTTTTTACTGTAATGCATCTATGTCTCCATGGAACAAGTTTACTTAAAATTACCAGAAATCTTTAGTGAGAAGCTGAAAAAAAATCTGACATCTCAAATGTGAAATCATGGCAAGTCTCGGGCCAAATACAGAGCTTGCATAAAACACAGAAAGGGCAAAAAGCGACAAACGTCGCTCCCACAGCTAGCCCTGCTACGCGGCGCTCTCCCCGACCCGAACCCCGCGCTGCTTTGAGAGCTGCCCGGTTTGTGAAGCTCCCGCGCGGGGCGGGACGACGGGAACGAGCCGCCCGCGCGAGCTCGGGGCGGAGGCGGGAGGGCTCCGCAGGGCAGAGGCCGTGGGGCCGCGCCGCTCGGGGCCGCTCCCGCCGCGCGGG